GCACTGGAGCTGTTTGTTCCTTTGCTTTTAGGGATGATGCTGTTCTTTCCATCACAGTATGGAAGACGCTTCAGTCCTTACCCTGTCTCTTGCTGCCCTGAATTTCCTTTGTACTCATTCTTCTTTATCTCCATAGGGATCTCTGTACACGAAACGAGAGGGCCTAGGAGACAACACCAAGTCCAGTCACCTTCACCCCCACAGCTGCTGTAGCAGTGAACTTTTATCCATGAAAGCTTGATCAAAAGGAACAAGGCCAAACCAGAAAATTGCTCAAAAATCCCAAATTGCAACATTTTCCAAACAGGAGCAGAATAGGAATGTTATCTTGGAGGTAAGTGCAGAAATCCACCAGTAATGTAGACTTTGAAATATCGCAAAACAGCTCTTCATGCCTTTCGTGCTTACAGTCTTTCATGTGGTTGACGAGTTGCGGATAAAAAAAAGGCGTCCTCAGTAAAATTCTTCCTTTCCTTCCTTCCCCACCTCCACCAAGATGATTTCTGCCCTGTCCTGACGGCGCAAAACATCCTGTGGGAAAATTAGTTGGGGAACTGATTGTCACAGAACAGCCAAGGGTTCAGGAAGGAGTAATAGTCTCCTCCGCAGAAAACCTATTTCCTAGTGAGATTGCTGAAAGAAGAGTTTCTGGTTTTTTTAATGTGATGCTTTAGCTCGTATTCCTCATCACTGCACACCCAGTTGATGGATTCACAGGCCAGTTGCCCCTCAGCTCCTTGACTCTGAGTGCTCAGACTGTGAGTGCTCAGATTGTCCTTCACACACTCCCCACCTCTCTGTGTGCAAGGATATACAGATAAAATCCCTTCCCATCTTCTGGTTTGCACTCTCTGCTTTCAAATGCTGATAACTGTCTGTCTGGAGATGGACAGGACAGTTGCACGATATAAGATGATGGGATCATCTTCAGTAAGCAAAGAAAACAGCTGTAAAGATAAGGTACTAATATCTGAGAACTGAAAATATTCAATGAGTGCTTTTGCTTGTAGCCAAAGTCACAGGGTAGAGAGAAACAGTCTGGGAGGTTGTTATGGAAACAAGTCCCTGGAGGTGCCTACTTTGCTTCACGAGGATGCGCTCTGCCTTCAGAAGGAAATAGCTAGACAGACAGACAGACAGATTTGTATTTCGAACATCCAGGAGTGAGTGCTGAGAACTTGAGGTAAGATTTTTGAAAGCATCTCTGTGATTTGGCGACACGAGTCCTCTGTAAAGTCAATGGCACAGGTACCACTATGTCCTTTCAGTCACTTGAAAAAAATCCGAAGGCTCCTTAATAAAAATGTCAAATTCCAGAAGCTCTATAATATGTATTATTATTGATGACTTTGGGACTTCACTGCCTTGCTTTTCAGGAGATGCTTAGAGAAGGATTTACATGCCCAAATGAAAGTCCCTAGGTCACAGTTTCCAAGCTTCTGTTGGCTTTTTGGACTCCTCTTAGCTCTAACACAGAAAACCCAGGGAGCAAACACCACTCCTGTTTTACACAGCGCTCTGCCAGAAGGAAATAGCTAGACAGACAGACAGACAGATTTGTATTTCGAACATCCAGGAGTGAGTGCTAAGAGCTGAGAACTTGAGGTAAGATTTTTGAAAGCATCTCTGTGATTTGGCGACACGAGTCCTCTGTAAAGTCAATGGCACAGGTACCACTATGTCCTTTCAGTCACTTGAAAAAAATCCGAAGGCTCCTTAATAAAAATGTCAAATTCCAGAAGCTCTATAATATGTATTATTATTGATGACTTTGGGACTTCACTGCCTTGCTTTTCAGGAGATGCTTAGAGAAGGATTTACATGCCCAAATGAAAGTCCCTAGGTCACAGTTTCCAAGCTTCTGTTGGCTTTTTGGACTCCTCTTAGCTCTAACACAGAAAACCCAGGGAGCAAACACCACTCCTGTTTTACACATTTTCATTTGCACTTTCTTTTCAGAACTGAAAAACGTGGATCGCAAAAAACTGCAAAAAGCTGTCTGTTTGCAACAAAGTTCCTTCACACCAGTGTTTTGTGTGCATGTGCATGCATGCACATGTCTGTGTGCAGACAACATTCCAGCTAGAAACTCACTGCTGAATTTCACTTGAGAGCAGGAAATCTCTTTACAAGACTATCTCTGTAAGACACATTGGGATTATGCTACCAGTAATTTGCCTCACGTCTTTTTTTTGCCTGTCTCCATGCCCAGCCGTCTGTCATGCTGGTCGGGAGAACAACCTATTCTGAGCAGGGAGGGCTCCTGCCTGGCAGGGGCAATGGGGTCAGGCCCAAGGGAAGAAACAAGCACAGGAATTTTCTGACGTAGGCTCAGTGTGTCTCATGGCTCCTCCTGTGCTTAACCTGAGTTTTTTATATCTTACTTTGGGGAAACTTTTATCAGCTGATACACTCAGGCATAAAATAACCCCAAACATGGGCATTCTGCTAGGAGACAGAAACAGCCTTGAAACATCCCTCTTAAATAGCAGGTTCTTTTGGTAGTTTCTAGTGCATCTGCTAGAGCAACGTAAAATTTGAAGAAAAGTCACTCTCTTGCACTCACAGAAATTATTTCATTATAGTGACCCTGAAGCACAACTAAGAACAACAACAGCTTTTTACTGAATTAACTCAATGACAAAGACAACTTTTTACACAAAATCAACAGAGATGCCACTGTGTTGATCCTTCCTCAGTCCCATTTATTCACCAGGATTACTTACCCACATGCTTCAAGGGATGCAGAATGGCTCCCAAGGCCCAGACCATTACAGAAATTTGCCTCAGTCCCGATGAACCAAAGAGGAATTAGGCACCTATGTATTCAAGCAAACTCCTCTCACCTATAGAGCCCTCACCACATCACACTTGTGTCTCCCAGACTGACCTGCAGTAACCGAGACAAGTGGCATTTTGCTACTGACTTCAGCAAGACAGAGAACAGAGGTTTTAATATAATGGTTGTGCGCTGACCCCGAGGGAGATCCCTGTACATTAAAAACCTTTGAGAAGACAACGGGACTCTAGAGAAATGCAGCAGTTAGGATTTACACAAACAACTTCTACCATATGATCAGGGCCCAGATGAGGAGAGGCCACAATAAAAGCACTCTAGGCATGGAGCCAGATCTCAAGACAATGAAAAACAAGCAGGGTAACGAAGATGCAAACAGATCCCATCTCACAACCAGTTCTATAGTCAATTCTGACTATATTAAAGTATATGCCTTTAGCATTCTTAGCCTTATGGTTGAAAAGCATAATATATACATATACATAAAATGTATTCTATATATTTTGCATCTTGATATTATGTCTGGTTTATGTATTACATGTGTCACATGCAATGTGTAGTACATTCTAATATGCATATCATACAGTATGATGCAAGGCATTAATGGCTGCCTTTGCTTTCATACACATACACACATGTGAATGCAGAATATACACTTAGATTTAAAACAAGACAGACTTTTCCTTGCAGGAAAATTTGCCAATAGAATCTGAAAGCATCCATTTTTCCCTTCTCACCCACTGGCAGCATTTGAAACATTTTAAAGTTAGGGGTAAGGCAGAGCTGATCAAAAGAATGAAATTATCTGAGAAGCAAAATGTGCATCTTAAGATGCAAAACCCTGGTCCCTTGGCAAACCCAGCACTGCAGGCCAAGCTATGCATTTTGCATTGCTAGCATAAGTTGCTCTCACAAAACCTAGTGCATGCAAAAGACATTGCTGTGCCTCCTATCCATGAAATACCAAGAACTGGCTAGATCAGTAATACAGCAAAAGGATCTCTTCAAGGCTAGCTGTTTCTCCCCTCATTTGAAAGGTCTGGGGTATGCTGTTGGGTTTGTGCAGATGGCTTAGGGAAGTTGGTATCCGTGCCAATCTCAATCTCAAATGTTGACACACTTACCCTGGGGCAATTTATGCCTGTGACCCGCTAAATCAGTGCAATCTTCAGACAGCACAGGTGCAGCTGTCTGTGGTTGGGGTTTTTCAGCAGTGTCAACAAAATACCAAGATGCAAACTTCCCTCAGCTATACAAACACTTCAATAAAAACGCAGTGGAGTCAATTGCTCTCACATGCCTGAATACAGAACTGGATATCTGAAGCATAAAGTACATCTCATTAAACGCTATTGTGTGGAGACAAACTGCGGAGATAACAAATGAATTTACTCAAATGTGCCTTGCATCAGAAGGCACTTACCACTATGAAGATTAAGTTGGTACTATAAAAGCCAATTAACATCAGGGCACTGGCATAAATAAGGCTGAAATAAGCTCAAAACACAGAGAATCTTCACCAAGCCTGTTGACTTCTTTAAGCCTATTTTTGATAACTGGTGTGTGGTCACAAGTAGCAAAGAGCTTTTAGATCTATGCACCTTTTTTGAAACATAAACCAAGAGGATCTTTAGCATGCCAAGGGTTGCAAAGAAGGCAGGCGTCTGCTTGCTGACTTTCCCCTACAGCTGCGTAACTCACTGTGATGCTGGCTACAGCATTTCCATTATTCAAAGGCAATGGCATGGCAGGCGTGACTGATCCCACAGCTAAGGGCACTGCGCTGGCACAGGAACTAAGGGCACAGCTTGAGCCACATATTTGTAGCCCCTTTAACTCTTTACTCCCTGACGAATCCTTCAGCTGAAGTAGTAGCAAGGGCTTCTCTGCTAGTGGAGTAGAAAGGCTAGGTTTCAGAGCAAATATTGGACTAAAGCAGTCTTCAAAAACAGAGAAAGAAATTCACGAGGGAGTGGGGGATGACAGCTAGCACTCCACGGAATAAAGCAAGAACATTTCTGGCTGCACACGGTAATGAGAAACAGCAAATCAGGACAGAAGAGCCCATTGTCACAATCATTCTGTTTACGGTATCACAATTCACAGTCTGGCATGTAAATGCTGAATAGATCCAGCTGCTAGTAGGAAGACAGCTGTGCAGCAGCTTGCAGCTCCATGTCTGGACCCAGGATAACAAAACTGATCACACCTCTGTCAGCATTTTCTTCTCTTTATAACCCTGGTTGTTGGGAGGAATGAAGTTGGAATATTTCATGGACTCCAGGTCTTCTGCTTCCAGGAATTCAGATTTGCTGAGAGACTGATTGCTGTCCCCCTTCTTGGGCTCAGAGAAAGGTGACTGCTGCTGGCCGCAGGTGACGTGGGTGTACTGGCACTGCTCTTCATGATCAGTCTCTCGGTGGTAGAAGTAGTTGAAGTTGGACACAATGACAGGGACAGGAAGGGCAATGGTGAGCACACCCGCGATGGCACACAAGGAGCCCACAATCTTGCCACCAATTGTCATGGGATACATGTCCCCATAGCCCACAGTGGTCATGGACACCACCGCCCACCAAAAAGCATCAGGGATGCTGGTGAACAGGGAGTCAGGGTCATCAGTCTCTGCAAAGTAGACAGCACTGGAGAAGAGGATCACTCCGATGAAGAGGAAGAAGATGAGGAGACCCAGCTCCCTCATGCTGGCCTGGAGAGTCTTCCCCAAGATCTGCAGCCCTTTGGAGTGCCTGGACAGCTTGAAGATCCTGAAGACTCTGACCAGGCGGATAACTCTGAGGATGGCCAGGGACATGGCTTGCTGCTGGCCTCCGTTGTTGCTGCTGCTGCCGCCAGGCTGCTGCTTCTGCTGCTGCTGCTGGGCCAGCTCGGTGCCCAGAGTGATGAAGTAGGGGATGATGGCCACGATGTCGATGATGTTCATGATGTTGCGGGAGAACTCAGGCTTGCTGGGACAGGCAAAGAAGCGGACGAGGAGCTCAAAGGAGAACCAGATAATGCACAGGGTCTCGATGAGGAAGAAGGGGTCGGTGAAGAAGGGGCCGGCGCCGGCGGCGGGGCGCAGGGGCGGTGGAGTCCCGCTCGGTGGTGGTGGCGGTGGCAGCAGCGCCTCGTCACCGGGCGGCACCACCTCCCCAAAGCCGGGCTGGGCGCCCTTGGGCTCCTGGCGAAACTCAGGCAGAGTCTCCAGACAGAAGATGACGATGGAGATGAGGATGACCAGCACGGAAACGATGGCGATGGCCCGGGCCGGCCCAGAGCTCTCGGGGTACTCAAAGAGCAGCCAGACCTGGCGCTGGAAGTGGTGCTGGGGCAGGGGCTTCTCCTCCTCTTGAATGAAGCCCTCGTCTTCCCGGAAGGTCTCGATGGCCTCCTGGCCCAGCTGGTAGAAGCGGATCTCCTCCAGGAAGATGTCGAGGGGCACATGGACCGGCCGGCGGAGCCGCCCCCCGGACTGGTAGTAGTAGAGGATGGCGTCGAAGCTGGGCCGGTTGCGGTCGAAGAAGTACTCGTTGCGGAGCGGGTCGAAGTAGCGCACCCGGCGGCTGGGGTCGCCCAGCAGCGTGTCGGGGAAGATGGAGAGGGTCCGCAGCTGCGTCTCGAACCGCAGCCCCGAGATGTTGATCACCA